ATGAATTAGCAAAAGAGAAATTAAGAAAACAATTCCATTTACAGTATCATCAGAAAAACTACATAGGAATAAACCAAGGAGGTAGAAGATATGTACTCTGAAAAAGTATAAAACACTGATGAAAGAAACTGAAGAATGACACAAATAAATGGAAAGCTACACTGTGCTTATGGACTGAAAGAATTAATGTTAAAATAACCATACTACACAAAGCGATCTATAGATTCAGTGCAATTTCTATAAAAACTGCAGTGGCATTCTTTGTGGACCTAGAGCAAACAATCCCAAAATTTGTATGGAACCACAGAAAACCTTGAATAGTCAAAGCAATCTTGTAAGAAGAACAAATCTGGGGGTATCACACTCCCTGATTTCAGCCTGTTCTACAAAATGATCATAATCAAAACAGTATGGTACTACCACAAAAAGAGACACATAGGTCAATGGAACAGAATAGAGAGCCCCCAAGTTAACCAATGCTTATATAGGGATCAATTAATCTATAACAAAAAGGGCAAGAACATTCAATGAGGAAAGGACAGTTTCCAATAAGTGGTGTTGTGAAAACTGGACAGCTACATTCCAAAGAATGAAAAGTTGATTAATATATTAATACCTTACATGAAAATAAATTCAAAATGGACCAAAGACCTAAATATAAGACCTGAAACCATAAACCCCTAAAAGAAAAACATAAGTGATAAACTCATATATTGGCTAAAGCAAATTTTTTGGATATGTCTCCACAGACAAACAAAACAAAAGCAAAAATAAATAGTAGAACAACATCAAACTTAAAAACTTCTGTACACTGAGGGGAAACCATGAACAAAATGAAAAGGCATCTTACTGAATGGAAGAAGATAATTCTAAATGATATATATGCTAAGGACTGATTATAGAAAATTTTAATAAGAAGAACTTAATACAGCCCAACACCAAGAAACCAAATAATCCAATTTAAAAAGGGGGCAGAGGACTTGAACTGACATTTTTCCAAAGAAGACATTCACATGGCCAACAGACACATCAAAGGATGCTCAACATCGCCAATCATTGTGGAAATGCAAATCAAAACCACAATGAGATACCACCTCACACTAGTCAGAATGGCTAATATCCAAGAAATAACAAGTGTCGGCCAGAATATGGAAGAAAGGAACACTCGTGCACAGCTAATATGATTGCAAATTGGTACAACCAATATGGAAAGTAGTGTGGAGGTTTCTCTCAAAAAACTAAAAATAGAAATACCGTATCATCCAGCAATTCCACTTCTGGGAATTCACCTGAAAAAAAAGAAAATCACAAATTCAAAAAGATATATGAACCCCTGTGTTTATTGCAGCATTATTTACAATAGCTAGTTAATGGAAGTAGCCTAAGTGTCCATCAATAGATGGATGGATGAAGGTGATGTGGTACATACATAAAATGGAATATTACTCAGCCATAAGAAGAATAAAATCTAGCCATTTGCAAAAACATGGATTGACCTAGAGGGTATTCAGACAGATAAGACAAATATCCTGTGATTTCACATATATGGTATCTGAAAAACAAAATAAATGAACACACAAAACAGAGACAGACCCATAAATACAGAGGACAATCTGGTGGTTGCCAGAGGTGGGGTTAGGGAGCTAGAGGAAGGGGATTAAGAGCTACAAATGTTCAGTTATAAAATGAAGCATGAGAATAAAAACTGCAGCATAGGGAGTATAATCAATATTTTAGTAACTTGGTGTGGTGACTAAGGGTAACTACACACTTTTCATGATGTACATTTCATAATGTATATAACAAATTACTATGTTGTATACCTGAAACTAATATGTCAACAATAGTTCAATTAAAAATTAAAGAAAAATAATTCATTTGTTTTGGATTTAGTTTCAGGTGAACTTATATAAACAGCAGTGTTTAGGGCAAAACTGTGGTACCAGTTTTCTAAAAGACTAGATCTTTTAGACTTGTTTTGAGTCTGGACAGAGCGCTTAGATTTTGACTACCAAAGTCATCCATTCTCAGGTGGGCAGCAGGATTAAAGGTGACTGATGAGGTTTAAATGGTAATGTAACAGAGAAGTTAATATAAATGTATATTTTGTGTGGATTTAAAAGTAATTTCTCACAGTGCTGCTAATGCAGTTTTCTTTGTAGTTTGAATGAAATTTTTTCATTTGTCTCTGAGATTTACATGGAAAAGTAATGTTTACCATATCCTTTTTGATCTGAAAAGAAGCAGATATATATAGTTATTTATGAACCAGCAAATGTTTCCTTAGAGTCTTTTAACTGACTGACTTTATAAAATTGGTTCTGATGTAGAATCACTACAAAATGTTCCAAAATTTTCATACTTTTTTATTCCTTTATAGATCCCAAAAAGATACCAAGATGACACAGTTTTTTGGTCACAATTTTGAGGATGATAGATGGCGTAAAGCAGCCTTAAAGAATGCTTTTTCTTTGTTAGGCAAACAAAGATTTGAACATTCTGCGGCATTTTTCCTTTTAGCTGGTTGCCTCAGAGATGCAATTGAGGTAATAAATGAGACTTAAAAAAAAAAACATTGTCACCCTTTTTAAGTTCTTTAGATAAGTCTTAAATTTTTATTTTTTAATTGCAACTTAAGTATAGTAGAGTAAGACTAAATACCTAAAGTAGCTGGTAATATTGAATAATGACTTTTAAATTTTTATCATTTAGCATAAGTGGTATTTATATAGAATCAAGATTAGGTTATGTTCATGGGCAGAGATACATAGTTGATGTGACTCTTAAGAATACTTACGAACAGGTTAAAAAATAGTTTGTCCTATCAGTTTGAACATACTTGAACCTTTATTTATTTCTCTCTTTGTTGATGAACCTGAACAAATTTTTAACATTATTTCTTAGTAAATCTCTCTAAAAGTAAAATATTTAAGATATAATATTTCTATCTCAAACTACCTTTTTCTCAGTGTCATAAAAGAATTCAGAGCAGCTTTTTAATATGGAAACACTATAGTCTGCTGAGGTGGGTGGAAAAGAGTAAAAATTCAAGAATAAAACAAAATATGTCACTTGGATTGATGCTTTTATAAATTATTTAATATTTCCTCATTGGACTAATTCTCTTTGCAAATACGTATTTAGTTTTAGAAGGTAAATTTGTAAATATTAATATAAATGTTTTCAAGGATATCTGCTAAAGGAAGTTGTGTATGTTGTTACTCTCCTTGTTCACTAATTTCAGATATGGATAAAACCTTCTGTTGGTCTAGTTATTAGTGAATCAGTTGAATTTATCTTAAAGCCAAAAATGCCCCTGCTTATTAATTTCTCTTTTTCTTGAAGGTATGTCTTGAGAAATTGAATGACATTCAATTGGCTCTTGTAATAGCAAGACTCTATGAGTCTGAATTTGATACATCTGCAACATATAAATCTATTTTATGCAAAAAAATTTTGGGAATTGATTCTCCTGTCAGTGAATTCAATTCATTGCACATAAATATGCATTATGATCCTTTTCTCCGGAGTATGGCATATTGGATTTTGGAAGATTACAGTAGTGCTCTGGAAACATTAATAAAACAACCTATCAGAGAGGATGATGGTAAGCTGTACTTCTAAGATGTTAATGACTAAGAGTTTTATTCTGGGTGCAGGACATACTGTTGGATGCTAAGGGTAATAGAAAGCTAGTTGAAGACATGGCCTAAGACCTTATGGTTTTGTTGGGGACACAGAGAGTTATGTATTGTTTTTTGACTTTTCTTTCCAGAAACATAAATCCTTGGAAAAACAAAGACTTTGGAGTTTATATTTTTATGAAATTGATATAATGAACACAAATATTATCAACATTTGAATATAAATATTTTGAAAAAAATACTGATGAACTCAGTTTAATCTTAGGTGCAAGCTAGTGTATTAGTTTTATAATTTTTGTAATAAAAATGTATTCAGTGTAAAGAAAGTTGACTTAAGTAATGTGGTTAAAACTCTTTAAGTTAAATAAGTTCTGGACTTACATCACACTCACCTCAGGATGGTGATAAGTAGAGAATTTTTTTTTTCTTTAAAAATACTTATCATGGAAAATTTCAAACATACAAGTAGAGAGAACAAGATAATATAAAGTGTATTTTCATCAATTTCAACAATTATAACATTTTTTTTTTGGAGGGAGGAGCCACTGCTAAAAATTTAGAAATTACTGGTTGAGGTCTGAAGTCCCCACAATTCCATTTTATTGGCAACAGAGCTTTCTTCTTGAAAGGATATTTTCTTGTTATAAATTCAAAGGGAAGTTTTTGATTTGTGCCCCTCGTGAGCTGTTCCCTAGGCCACTGGTCTTTTCATCTGAATATAGAATTTTTTAATGTACCCTTTGTAGTTCTACTTAGGTCTTTTAGAAGTATGTGTCTCCTCCAACAGACAAGCCATAGTATTTTAGTACGAGTTCCCTAGAGAAACAGACTCTGTGTGCGTGCGTGCGTGCATGCGTGTGTGTGTGTAAGTGTGTGTGTAAATGTACCCTTTGGAGTTCTACTTAGGTCTTTTAGAAGTATGTGTCTCCTCCAACAGACAAGCCATACTATTTTAGTCCGTGTGTGTGTGTGTGTGTGTGTGTGTGTGTGTGTGTGTGTGTACTTGTATATATAAGCTTTGTTGTACACTTTTATACTTAGTATAAAAAATTCTTTATAGAAATTCATACTGAAATGATGGGATATGCTTGTCAAATATTTTCCCCGTGTGTGTGTGTGTACTTGTATATATAAGCTTTGTTGTACACTTTTATACTTAGTATAAAAAATTCTTTATAGAAATTCATATTGAAATGATGGGATATGCTTGTCAAATATTTTCCCATAGGTAGAAGTGAGGTGTTTCTTGTAACTTGTAGAGTAAGTGTCTTATCATTTGGATTACTAATTGGAAAAGATACTAGTTGATATCTTTTTACATAGCTTAATCAGGAAGTACGACATGACTTACTGTGACTTAGGAGAAAGCAATGTTACTCAGTTGTTCAAGTCTCCAGCCATCTGAGTTGAAGATTTCCAAAGTAGCTTCTATGAAATGAAAGGGGAAAGAAAAGGCCATTTCCAGTCACTTTTTACATACTTATGTTCATGTGAAGAATCTATTTTTGATTTGAGATTAATATACAATCACATACTTTTAGAGCCAGTTAAACCTGTGTTCTAAAGGAAAATTTTAAAAGATTATAGTGGCATGGACCCAGATGATAGAAGTGAAGCCAGAGAGGAGTGGTTGTATTTGGGGTATAAATAAGACTGAATTGAATGTGGAAAGTGAAGGGAATAAGTCAAGGATAATTCCTGAGTTTTTAGCTTGAACAATAGATAAATGATACCGGGAAGACCAGGAGCAGATTCTGGGTAGTGTTGTTTTAGATATAGAAGACTTCTCTAATATGGTGATGTTTGAGCAGAGACCTAATTGAAATGAGTGATTGATTAGCATTGACTTATGGCACTAAATAAAAAGGCCTTGAGGCCCTGGAAATGGAAATGTAATAGAAGCTTTTGGATCTGGTAGTCTAGATTTCCAGGGGGATAGTAGAGCTGGAAATTGAGATGTGCAAGTTATCATCCTCTAGATGGTATTTAAAGCCATGGGAATATAAGAGTTCACCCAGTGAGTATAGATAGAAAAGAAGTCAGTTACTGAATTCTAGGACACTCAACATTCCAAGGTAAAGATGAGGGAGTTCTAGCAAAGCTGACTGAGAAGGAGTGTCGAAGGAAGTAGGAAAAAATAAGTAAGTGTGTGTAAGTGGATGCTTTAAATTATCTTAGGTTATCTGAACAGGTGTGAAATCAGCATAAACTTTTTCTATTATGTTAAAACACTTTGATTACAAATGTGTTCTTGTTTGTTCATTGCTGTGTGTTAGTGAGGTCTGTTAACAGAATTTTGTCAAAAGACCGTGGTAGATAAAGGTTCCATAGTAGAGATAAAGAACTACAATACAACTGTTGAGAAACTTTTCCTGGCTCATAAAATGAATTTATTTTCAGATGAAGTTATGATGTCAGTGTGTAATCCTGCGGTTTTTAATTTCTACAATTATCTAAGAACACATCCGCTTTTGCTGAGACGTCATTTTGGATCATCTGATGCATTTTCCACACACATGAGTATAACAGGAAAAAGTGGACTGGCAGGAACAATTAGTTTAAGTGAAAGAAGATTATTTTTTACTACTGCCAGTGCTCATTTAAAAGCTGGCTGCCCCATGTTGGCTTTGGAAGTATTATCAAAGATGCCAAAAGTCATCAAAAAAACAAAACCTTTTTGTAGGACATCTAGTTTTCTGGATACTAGTAAAGTCTGTTCCCCTTCTTCTCCATTAAAATTGGATGCAAGAGAAGATAAATCTTCTGCTATTGATTGGTCACAATCCCTGATGAATGGTTTTGGATCTTCTTCAGAGGGTTCCTCAGAGAAGCAGTCAAACTCCACTCTTTCTTTTGACTGGAGCCAACCAAGTGTCGTATTTCAGGATGACTCTTTAGAATTAAAATGGGATAGTGACAGTGATGAAGAAAATAAGGATCTCCCTATTTCAATGAAAGAACTAAAACCTTCACAGAGAAAGAAAGGAAAAAAAATTGATGAAACAAGTTCTAATTACACAGAATCTTTCAGCACATTAGATGAAAAGGACATTTTAAGTCCCTCAGAAGATATAATTGCAGTTCAGTTAAAATTCAGAGCATGTTTAAAGATTCTCACAGTAGAACTTCGTACTTTATCTACTGGCTATGAAATAGATGGTGGAAAATTGCGTTACCAACTGTACCACTGGCTTGAAAAAGAGGTGGTAGCTCTTCAGATGACTTGTGACTACTGTTCAGATGCTGAAAAATTACAGTCTGCAATTGGCAAAAATGGAGATGAATTTGAATTAAGTGAAGATGCTGAAGATTTGCTTCATCAAACAAAAGTGAAGCAACTAAGAGAAAATTTTCAGGAAAAAAGACAGTGGCTTTTGAAATATCAGTCACTCTTGAGGATGTTTCTTAGTTATTGCATACTACATGGATCCCATGGTGGGGGTCTTGCATCTGTGAGAATGGAATTGATTTTGCTTTTAAAAGAATCTCAGCAGGTATGTAAGTTATGTGATAGCCAGTCAAAACAGTACGTGTGAAAAAGTTTTTGATAGTGTTCTTTTTGTTTTTAAATTTTAAAATTGTTCTTTGTTATGGTTGCTTTAAGGAATGGTTCTTTTTGTGTGGTGCTTCATATTATGAGTTTGTAGAGTTGTGTTCATTTGTTTATATTGTGTAAGGACAATTGGGTATTGGGCCTTATGATCTATATTCTTAGAGGAATGCCTTGTGAGGTGATGAACTTATGATAGGAAGGCATTGTCCCATTATTTTCAGTATAATTAGTGGAATGTTGACCTCATCACATCCCTTCTGACTTTGTGAAAGTTTCTGTGATGCTTTTGACATTTTTCAAAGAGAACCCTGAATTACTTAAGTAATAGATTACAACTATAAATAGTTGGTTAACCATTGTTGTCCTTTGTTTTTAAGGAAACGTCAGAACCAGTATTTCCTACCCCTCTGTCAGAGCAAACCTCAGTACCTCTCCTCTTTGCCTGTACAGCCAGTGCCAAAACAGTAGTTGCCAATCCATTATTGCACCTTAGTAATCTAACACATGATATTCTCCATGCCATAATAAACTTTGACTCACCACCCCATCCTGATATCCAGAGCAATAAAGTAAGTATGCTTGGTTTCGTTTTTTAAATTACCTTTGTGATAAAGTCAAAAGAAAAGTGTTAAGACTTTTTAGAGACAATTTTAAGTGTCACACTATGCACAGGGATTGTTACATTACCAATCAATTTATATTGATTTTGTTCAAAGAAAACTTCTGTTTGTAAGTCAGACTCATTGTATTTGTGTTAATATGCCCAATAAGGTACTTCAATATTTAGTCTTATTTAGCCACTTTATTAAGATAAGAGTAATAGGTGTGTATGCAGATATATGAATAATTCCTTCAGCAGTACACTCAGCAAAAAAGATGATTGTTTTTTAGAGGCAGAAAGTTTAATATTTTTGTGTGAAAGTACTAACGTGTAAGTCAAGCTTTCCTTTGTTAACATTAAATTATTACATATTTTAAGGATAATGGGAAGTATTTTGCTCCTGTCATTCCTGTAGGCTAGTCAGGGATTTATGAACCAGCTACAGCAGAATCAACTGATTAAGTTCACTTCAAACTTACTGACAGTCTGTGAGAGTGAGTCCCAAGAATATATATTGTTAAGAGGTTCCTCAGGTGATTCTGATGTATAACTAATCATATAGTTATATCATGAACCATATCATTGTCCCTTTCATCATCACTCTATTTACTGTTAATATCACATTTCATATTTCATCTCTGCTCTCCAAAAATACTGAAATCCTTTAAAGCATGACCAAATTTTGCTATTTGATTAAAATCTCTCTTTTCTTCTGCTCATACTCTGTTTGGTTCTCACCCATTTCACAGGCTGTGATGTCATACCAGTTTGATTTTCTGCTTGCCTATATGCTACATTGCATATTATACAGTTAGGAGTTTAATTCCCTTCAAATTGTGTTCATTGTAGAAAACTCTATCCCATATTTAACTTTAGTAATAAGCATATCCCTGGTTATCAGTTAGCTTTTGCTGCTGAGAACCACTCTGAAACATTCGTAGCTTAAAATAGCCATCACTTATTTTACTAATGATCCTGGGTGTTAGCTCTTCAGTTCTTCTGGTTTGGGCCTGCTGATCTGATTTCTGGACACTTTAATTTGTCTTTGGTCAGCTGGTAGGTTCACTGAATTCTAGGTGATCTAGAATGAACATTTCTGGTGGTTGGCAGACTGCTTGCACAGCTGACAGGAGAGTCTGGGTCATATGTGTCTTCTCCAACAGAAGCGGTAGCATTTTAGTCTGGGTTCCCTAGAGAAACAGACCGTGCGTGCATGCGTGTGTGTGTGTGTGTGTGTGTGTGTACTTGTATATATAAGCTTTGTTATAAGCAGTTGGCTCACATAATTATGGAGGCTGAGAAGTCCCAAGATCTGCAGTCAGCCAGCCAGGAATGCAGGAGAGCTAATTGTGTAGTTCTGATCCAATCCAAAGGCCTGAGAACCAGGAGAGCCAATACTGTAGGTTCTAGTTCAAAGGCCAGCAGACTTGAGTCCCAAGAAGAGCCCAGACATTTCAGTTCTAGTTTGAAGGCGGGAAGAGACCAGTGTCCCGGCTCAGTGCAGCCAGGCAAAGTTCCCTCATGCTCAGCCTCTCTGTTTTATTCAGGTCTTCAGTTGATTGGATAAGACCTACTCACATTAGAGAGGGTAGTCTGCTTTACTTAGTCCACCAATTCAAATGTGAATCTCATGTAAAATCACCCTAACAGACACAACCAAATGTCTGGGCACCCCTTGGCTCAGTCAAGTTGACATGTGAAATTAACCATAATACCTAGGTAATTTCATGTAGTGGTTACAGAAATTTTAAGAGCAGCAAGAGTAGAATTTGCAAGCCTTTTGAGGACTAGGTTCAGAACTTGTATTGCTTATGCTATGCCCTTTTGGTCAAAGCAAATCACAAGGCCAAACAGGATTCAGTAAATAGAGAAATAGACTCCAACTTTTGATTGGAGAAGCTGGAAAATAGTCTGATTATTTTTTAGTTTGCTGTATGTGATCTTTGCTGTCTTCATTTATATGATGATATCCTTGATTTTAATTCATACTACAAGTCATTAATAATTAAAGGAGAAATAGTAATAGTTTTTAATCTATCACCCTGTTTTTATCTACATAAGACTGCCATACTTCACCATTAGATCAAGAATCTTTTCTAGTCTACTTTTTTAGCTGGGTTAAGCTGCTTCTTCCTCAAATCTACTTCTGTTATATCTTATCATGCTGTGTTTGGAGCCTTCTTTCCCTCAATATAAATGTTTGTCTTTCAATTGCTGTCTTTCATTCTCCTTTCCCTAAAATTTTGCTCTTTTCAGATTGTTGTCTGCTGTAACTAGAATATATAGTAGCATATTCCACAATGACCTGTCCATAGGTGAACAGTTATTAATCAGACCAGGTGTCTTCATACTTTGGTTGAGGAAGAAGCAGGTCGAGTGTTGGAGAGCTGGCTTTTAATACAAGGCTCATGCACTGCTGAATAGCTAACATCTGCTCTCATTTGTTCTTGAAATAGAAAATAGGTAGTAGGTGTGTGTTTTATCATTTCTTCCAAAGGCCTCAGTATTTTTAATTTGTGTTGAGTCCTCCCTAGGTAGAAAGGAATGTTAAGGAAAAGAAGTAAATAATTTAAAAGGCCAAAGTAGTTTTTTCATCTTTTTAAAAATGCTGATTATAGTAGATCTTGGGAAAAGTTAAATTTTAAAATTACCTAGTGTAATTTTGTTTTCTTTCTCAGGTATATGTAATGCATACTTTAGCAGCCTCACTTTCAGCTTGTATTTATCAGTGCCTTTGTGGTAGTCATAACTACAGGTAAGTATTTTTTTATAAAATTTAAGAATATTTGCTGTAACTGATAAGATTTCATGATTTATATGCTCTTGCTTTAGAAGGTCTGTGTATAGGAGTCTACTTTAAATAATGCAAAAAGCATATTGCTGAAGTGTTGAGTAGGTTTTTTATCTTTGAACTTTTAGCTTATGCCTTTATGGTAAATGAATCTCAACTAAATCCCTGTCAATATAACATATTTAGCAGCCTTTATTGATCATTGCCTAATGCCAGACCTTGTGATATGCACTAAGGATAAGTTCTCCTTCCTTAAGGTCAATCTAGTTAGAGACAAACCTGTGAACTGGTAAATGATATGTAACATGGCATCAGGCTTATGTGATAAGTACTGTCTAACAGGTCATAAAAAGCTCAGGGAGCACAGAGAAGGGAGTGACTGACTTGGAACTGAGAAAATTTTACAGAAGAGTTGATATTGATGATTTCTCTCTTTATGTCCTGAGGTTTCACTGTAATTTATCTGGACTTCTCAAAATATTGTTTAACACTTGGGTTGTTCTGTATCTTTCTTCAGTCCTTTGAGGTAGTCTGACTTCATCTTTTCAAGTATTTTGTCTTCTCTCTTCTGTTTTCTTTCCTGTTAGACAGATGCTAGAACTTGTGAGTCCCTCCTATTTTTCTTTTAGCTTCCCTCTCATATGTTCCTTTTCATTATTTCTGTTTGCTTTACTTCAGGAGAAATCCTAGCTTCATTTTCCAGACATGAATTTGTTCTTCAGAAATGTCCTGTCTTTTATTTAGCCTATCTGAGTTTGTGTTCTAGAAATTCCATTTTTCATTTTTTAAGATCTTTCGTTGATTCTATTAGCCACTTTTATTTTTGTAAGTTATTGCCTTTATTTCTTTTTTTAACCTCTCTAAGTATAAACCACTTTCTTAAAGTTCTGATAAATGTGCCCCCTTGGGTACAGGTCGTTCACTGAGTTTGTTGTCTCTTGCATCATGTCAGCCTCCCTTGGTGTTGATTTTCGATTATCTGTTTATCTCGTGTGTTGGACTTCTTCCATGGGTAGCCTCAGCCTGCTACTCTGGTTATGTGCTCCCAAGGTAGCTTCAGCTTGATTTGTTTGTCCCTGAGCCTCCAGCAGTTCACTTTTTTGTTATTGAGTGTGGCTTTATTTGTATCAGTGTATTTTAATCATCATATTTCCATAGGCTTATTGTAGAGGGGGGAATTTTTTGTTACTCTGCCATTTTGAAAATGAAAAGTAAAGCAAGAGAAACTATTTATAAATACATAAAAATGTAATGACTAATAAGATTTGCCAGTTAGACCAGATCTAAATCAGTAAATGTACTATATGTAAATATTATATTCATTTATTTAACATATGATACAGGAATTTATGACAGGATTTAATAAAAACTTGTACCATTTTCTGTCAGACTTTGTCAAACTGCAGGTTACTTTATTCATTCATCTGCTTACTTAGTTTTAGGTTAAAGTGCCATTTACTGGAGTTTACCCTGAATTCCCAAATTGTGTGAAATGTTCCTTCTTTTAGCTTTCATAGCACTGTATGTATACATTTTGTCTTTAAAAAGAGTATGATTAAATTATTTGTGTCTGTCCCATCAGACTAAATTTCATGGGGATGAAAACCATGTTTTTCATTATAAGCCTATTTTTCTTTTGGTGCATATACCTGAGGTAAGCTACCCTAATGTGGGGTAGACTAGACATTATATACAAAACTGAACCAAAATTGACTTTTTTCAAGTAGATAACCTTGTTTTAAAGTTTGATACATAAGCTTGCTACTAGTTAGATCAGTAGTGATTTAGTTTTCTCATGTATGTATTGTCTTCCACTAAAATGTACTTAAAACATATCACACGTATGTTGTTGCTGTTGCTTTCTTACATTACTATTACTGTAGGTCATTGTAGGTTATTTTTATTTAAACGTTTTCTTCTCTTAGTTCATTTCAGACAAATCAATTTACAGGAATGGTTTATCAGACAGTACTGCTTCCCCATCGACATTCTTTGAAAACAGGAAGCTTAGATGAAGCAATAACTCCCAATACATCACCAGCTCAATGGCCAGGTATAAATAATTTATATACGTGTGATTTTTTTTCTTAGCCTTGTTGGAATTTAATCAGATGAGGGAAAAGTAGGTTTGGTTTGGTTTTGCTGAATGCTAATCATTGTTAAGTATTTTTAGAATTGATACCAGTGCAGTATTCACCATTTATTACAAATTATACAGTTACTTAACATTAGTGTTTCTTTAACCATGTGCTAAAATAACTCAAATGTTTTATTATATTATTATAATTTTACTTTTATCATAATAGAAAAATATTTGTTATAGCAAATAAATTTTGTTATATTTAATTCAGTTACAGAATTTGTGTTTCCCTAATTGAACAAATAGCTCAATATTTATGTATTAACTGTAATAACCTCTTCTAGTCTATGAATCTAGAGAAGAAAATATTTTAATCCTGATGAAATAAGTTTTTTTCAAAAATTAGAAAATGTAGTTAATCTTTAATGTTTAAAATTTACTGTCTGTTTGTTGTTTGTTCTAGGAATAACTTCTCTAATTCGGCTTTTGAATTCTTCTGGCGAGGAAGCTCAGTCAGGGCTTACAGTCTTGCTCTGTGAGATTCTGACAGCAGTGTATCTTAGTCTCTTCATCCATGGCTTGGCAACACATTCTAGTAATGAACTATATCGGATTGTGGCCCATCCTCTAAATGAAAAAATGTGGTCTGCTGTATTCGGTGGAGGTGCACATGTTCCCAGCAAAGAACAGACACACTCAAAAGCTTTACCTGGTTAGTTTTTAATCTTTCTTATCTTTTTGTTGTTAAGGCTGAAGCTTTATTGACTCATCTGAATGATAACTTTGTCAAATGTAATTACATTTTCATTTATCCACTGAAAACTTGTTACAGATGATTTTCTTAAGCATGACCCAATAGTTTCACTGTTTAAAGTTTCTGGTGCAGTTTTCAAACTTTAAGCTGCTCATGCATGCACCAGTGATTAGAACTATCTAATGTAATTTTGTTTTATTTTTTCCTATTGAAATTTTCATTTGTTTTGAAATATACTGTAACATTGGTTTCTGTTCTATTCCAAATACAGATTCTCTCTTCTTTCTTTGGCAGGAAGGCACTTTGCTATGCCTAGCCCCCACCAGGTAGTGGTACTCTCCATGGAATGTGTGGGCTTTTCCAAAGCTCTTTCAACCGTCTGTTCTCATAGCCCTCCCAGTCTTGAAGGCAAGATATTAGTTTTAGAAATAGGCTTTTACAGTTCAGCTTGCTTTGTGTTGTTTTTGAGGCGTTGGGGTACAGTGGGTCAGTTTTGTTTGGCACCTATAATAGAAAACTGAGAAGTTTCCTTTAATCAAGCCATATTTATTATTTAAAACAATGATGAACATTTTAGAAAACCATCTGTGCTTTTGTTATTCTGCTTTTAAATTCTTTGTTTTGATGTTTTCTATCCTTTAGACTTCATATTTTTAAGTGTGTAGAAATAAGGAAATGTCAGTACTAATTGAAGTAAATCAGACTATGGCTTGAAATGACTAGAGAAAAACATTTCAAATGAGGCTGTTTTGTGTCTTGTATATTATGATTCTAGCACTAGCATTTCGGAGTTCTTAACTGTTCATAGTACCATGAAAAGTAAATGTTTTAAATAATTGTATCCCTCTTTCGAAACTTTCTAATATTGAAGCTGTACATATTGTTTTATTTAAAGGTTGAAATACCAAGTTTCTTGGCCTGAAATGAATCTTCATGATTATTTCTGCTTGTTTTCTTTTTGTAATTTATTAGCCCATAAGTGATCATCTTAGTAGCACATTAAAAAAAATATTTTGATTTTCATAAATTTTCTAATTTTTAAAGAGTAATTTCGTATGCTCTATTTCTTTGTGTAGATTAAAAAAAGACTAACTTCTCATGAAATTTGCCTGGGAATATATACTTCAGATAGATATGTGGATTCAATAAAGAAAAACTTTCAAAGTCTAAGAAGGGGCAAGATTTACAACTCTCTTGAGATTAGTATTACATAAATAATAGGTTAATTAATTTGGGGCCTGTTTTTATTGTATGCTAAGAGAAAATGATTTGTTAGGATTCTCATTTTATCAATGTGAAATACTAAAAAAGGATAAATTCTTGCTGTGGAATATCCACATACCTGTGCAAAGTTAAAATTACATTCTTATTGGGGGCTCTCTTGTCCCCTCCTGGCCTGAGCCAGGAGCTCTCTCCTCTCGCTTTCTCTCTAAATAAAAGCCTCTGCCTTGCTCTCCCCAAAAAAAAAAAAATACATTCTTACTGACCAGTCAGCAGGTCTCATTTCTAACCATTTTTGCTGAGTAAAGAATCTTACTCGAAGTTCAGGTTGTTCTTTGTTTAAACAGTCATATTTAGTTGTTTCTAGGCACAAACATCATTACATAAATTATCTTTCAAGAACCATCATAAAGTATCTTCCACCATGTATTGAATCCTAAATATATATAATCAAAGTGACCAAAAATTATCTGCATCTGTATATTTAACTTCTAGAATTGGGACATGGTTGCCAAATAAAATAGAATATTTAAAACATGCGGTTCATTTAGTAGTAGGGCTGGATGTAACCACATCCAGGCTATGTGATGCTCATTTGTTTTTGAGAACTCAGAAACTATCTTGAGTACAAACAATCGTGGATATAACTGAAGGAGCATTTACAAAAACATGATGACATGATTCATCAGTTGGCTAACCAGAATAAAGGAGTACACTCATTGAATTGAGTCCAAAAGCCTGCTGGTCTCAAAGTTGATCTAGTTTGAGAAGGAGCAAGTACAAAAAAAAGAAAGAAGGAAGTAGAGAAACAGAATAAAAGGGCAAGAAGTGATGGCAGTAGTAGTGAAGGCAGTTAATAGTAATTAGGAGCAGGAGTCCTGTGAAACAGATGGACTGACAACTGGAGAGAGAAAATCTAAGAACAGAAAATCAACCAAGGCAAGGGACAAGCAGGGTTGGCTTTCATTATAAGGCAAATTTCAATATGTGAAATCTTAGTTTGAGGACATTATTGTGCACTGCAAGCATACAAACTAAAAGTAAGTGCCCTGCATGTTGGAATTACTGCTGAACATAATCATGATGTCCCAAGACTCTAATGGGATTAGATAATACTCAGTATACATTGTTGACCAGGGTAATAAAATAATGTATTTTAGGAAAGTTGATGTGAATGCAGCCAAAATTAATATTTTTTTTTGCTTTTAGTATTTAACTTTGGCTGATTGAAAACTGACAAGTCTAGAATGTTTCAATTTCCTGGCAACTAATCAGTGTTGAAGTGTTGTATATTGAAGATAAAATACATTCTTAGAAACCCTAAAAATCTGTCTTTCAAAAAGTATTTTCATAAACTTAGTACTATGTGATAAATTTAAAAGGTCATTTATTTTCATTCTTCTGGTATAAATTCTGAATTTATTTTTGCAAAAAATGGCCTTATGAACTAAAATAATTCCTCTCTACGTGTCTGTTATATAGTTAATATACTAATTCTTTTACTGACATAAAATTTAAATATGACTTAAGCATTGTAATACAAGAAAATGATAGACGGTTTTTATTAGACTTTAGTGTGCAGGTCAGAATTCTTAACAAAAAATGTTAATGTATGTAAGTAATTTATTTTTTAATCAAATTTACTTTGTGAATTCCACATGTGTTAATGAAGGATTTATTTTTTTCTAATTAAAACTTGTGCAGGTATATGTTCATGGAGTCCTGAAATATTTTGATAAAGTAGATAATCAACTAAGCAATAGCAATTTTCAAAAAATTACTTTTTTTTCTGTTAACAGTTAGAAATCCATACTTTTCTTTTTCTTGCATATTATAAAGCAAAACAAAATAATTTTATTTTAAGAATTTGTTTGCTGAGAGGCATCACTCAGATTCAGTACTGTGAACCTGTTTGCCATTCTTTCCCGTCCTTGTTCATCAAAAGTAGTTTGATGTAGTTTTATACTCCTGGCATTTAGTCTGTGATTTTAAACATTTCTCCCCATTGTTGTTAATTTTTAATTTTTATGTCAAGTTTCTGTGTTCACAGACAGTACTTTCAAATGTTTTCTCTTTTTGAAAACCTTATGTTTTGCTTTAAAAACTGTGCTTTATCATGATAGACATCTTGGCAAAATCTATTAATTTATCATCGTAAGTTTTATTTTTCCATAGATCCTGTAAGATTTTGTGTTCAGATGCCTTCTAATCTAAAAATAAAACAAGCAAAATAATATTCTTAAAGTCAAATGATAAATTTATCATAATCCATAGCATTAATCTTTGAAAAAGTAAAAAATGCCTTTATATTCTAAATTTTTTACTTGATGACAAAAACCACTGTTTAAGTTTTAGAATGTATATATATATAGAATGTGTATGAAACAGATATATTAGAAGTCTGGTTGTTGATTAGATTGCTAATAAGAATAGAGGAAAAAAATTACACATTTAATCTGATGGTTCCTTTTAAAGTCATTTGAAATAATATGTAATAATCATACTACTTTTTAGCCATTCTTAGAATACTAATTTTAATTCATCTTAGAGTCCTTTTTTCTGAAGTAACTAAATTATTCTGTTAAACTCAGCTTGGCTGTAGCTTGATGAAATGCATGAGCGCATGCTGTTTATGCAAGCTAAATAGTTTCAAACAGTAAAACAAAATTGTATTACAGGACAAATATTTGCATCCTTTGGAAGGTAAGTAAACTCTCACTGGAACCGTTTTGAAGGAGCATATCCCTGTGCTTCATTGAGATGCTGCTTGCTGGCCTGTTAGGCCATGACTCTATTTGGGAGACCCTTGATTTTCTACTAATGACTTAGTGTTTGGTTAAAGATTTGTATAACTTGTTTTTCAATGCTGATGCTCCTAATATCCTAAAGTAAAGTACTAAGAGAATACTATTAAGTGTTCAGAAGTTAAAATAATAATGATTGCATTTTGTCCCTCTTCTGTGTCATTCTATTGACTAGAATATTCCATCTGCAAGCCATTTCTAAAAGTGTTTAAGTAGATATTTATATGTTTGAAATTTTTTTATATTTTCCATGAAAAATGTTTTCTGTGTAAATGAAAGGTTAAGTGATTACCGAGGAATCTCATACTTGAGTTGTAGCCTTTAATTAACATTGACATCCCATTATATCCTTTTTTTTCACCCTATGATACTGTTAAAAAACAAAAATAGAAAGATTTTTACTTTCTGTAATGGTCTAAGCTAAATTGTGGACTTATTTATAGGCAAATATTATATCCTGTTGCCTACACAAACAATAGATAAGTCAAAATTCAGAGAGACAAATTGAGATAAAAGCAGAGATTGTTATACAAGGTGATTTTTATCTCATTTCCTCTACTTATTTTCTTACCTTATTGTCTCAGTTTTCTGTGTGTACTTATTTGTAGTTAACCTAAAGGTAGGTGAAGTCAGTACAGTGAGAGTAGTACTTACTTTAATAATACTTTCTTCTTACTAGTTTCTTCACTAGTGGAAGAAGGAGGGAAACAAAACAAAAATTTCAGCCCATCAAAACAGTCTTGTAGAGAATCTGCTTCCCTGACCTTTTCTTCACCACCAGTAAACCAGGAGTCATTGACAGTCAAAGAGAAGTTCATCCCACCTGAGCTCAGTATCTGGGACTATTTCATTGCCAAGGTAATAAAAGTGCTATCCAGATCAATATTTATGTAGTTGAGTGGAAATGAAAACATTTAAAATAAGTGTAAGTTTTGGTGCTCCCAAATACCTCCCCACTCTGGCTTAGAAAATATTCAGTTTATCAGACTACATTTCCAAAAAATAAAACCTAAAATATTTTGGCCAGATTTCCGACCAGTTTTTAAGGCAGTTCTTTGATAAATTAGGGTATTTGTATTTTAAACAAAACAAAGAACTTATATTAAAAAAATAAATTGATTAACACCTTACTGCTAACGTACTTGATAATAATTCAGGAATTGAAACTACCTAAAGTCTACTACCATCCATACTCTAGTTCTATTTCTATATTATAGGTAGTCCTGCATTGTTCTAATACACACAAGTGTCAGTTAACGCTGGTTAAATAACATTAGTCCTTAACAACTTGGTCCAAATTTCACTTACCACAGTATATTAAATGTTAGTAATTGATTAAATTACAAACTTCCCTGGTAGCTCTTCAGTCCACAGATCACTATGTGAATAACAGATGCACCTCTTGATCAATGACCAATTACAACAATTCTTTCAGTCTGTCACTTAATACCAGATATTCAGTTTATATACAGACAGAAGAATGTGTAGTTCTCTTGCCTCCTTATTACCCATAATAAATCCCAGTGAAATTTTACAAAACTGGATAATCAGAAGAAATTGGAATTAGCTAGCAAAGATGAAAGTACTGCAAAAAAATGAAAAATGATACTACTGGAAGTGAACTTCAAATACAGTGTAAATGAAGTCATAGAAAAGAATAGCCAACTTTGGGAATGTTGACATTGCTGTCATTTGAGAGGCTCTAGATGTGCAACCAGAGGAACTTAGTGTGAAGGCCAGTTTATCAACATAAATAAGGAAAGTTTGACAAAAAGATGAAGACATTCCAGAGATAGTGAAATTGGCAAACAACTTCATCTTAAAGGAACTTTGGGTAATATTCACTACATTGAAATCACAAAGAAGAAAATATTGAAAGCAGATACAAATTTAGAAAGGAATATAACAATTTGCTAAGGATTAGGAAAGATGCTGGCTTTATATCCTGAGTTACAGAGTTAGAAGAAGGCAAGCACTATTCAGTTTCTTGATAAATTTTTTACAAAGAAATAAAAGTTTAATTCTCAATATTTCTAATATTTTAGTTACAGTGTACCAAATAAATATTATTTTTACTATTTTTTTCATTTCCCTGGATATTTATAGATGACCATTAAGAGTTTTTAGTGTTTTGACAAATATTTTTAACAGTCACAGAACACTTGTAATTTTTCCATTGATTTTTTTATTAAAGTATCATTAATATACAATCTTATGTTGGTTTCAAATATACATCTCAGTGGTTCAACAGTCCCTGTGAACAATTTATATTGTGATCACAAATTACTGTTCCCTTTTATCTCCCTCCCCTCCACCCCTGCACCCACCCAACCACTCCCCCTTGGTAACCACTAATCACTTCTCAGTGTCTGTGAGTCTGCTGCTGCTTTGTTTCTTCTGTTTTGCTTTGTTTCTATATTCCACAAATAAGTGAAATCATATGGTATTTATCTTTCTCCATATGGCTTATTTCACTGAGCATAATACCCTTTAGATTCCATCCATCTTGTTGCAAATGGCAGGATTTCTTTTCTTTTCATGGCTGAATAATATTCCATTGTGTATGTGTACCACATCTTTATACATTCATCTATTGATGGATGCTCAGGTTGCTTCCATATCTTAGCTATTGCAAATAATGTGGCAATAAACATAGGGATATATATGTCTTTTTGAATCAGGGATTTTGTTTCCTTTGGGTAAATTCCTAGAAGTGGAATTACTGGGTCAAATGGTATTTCTATTTTTAGCTTTTTGAGGAACCTCCATACTGCTTTCCAGAGCAGTTGCACCAATTTACATTCCCATCAACAGTGTAGGAGAGTTCCTCTTTCTCCACATCCTCACCAGCATTTGTTGTTTCTTATCTTTTGGATAGTGGCTATTCTAACTGGTATGAGGTGATATCTCACTGTGGTTTTAATTTGCATTTCCCTGATGATTAGTGATGTGGAGCATCTTTTCATGTGCCTGTTGGCCATTTGTATTTCTTCTTTGGAGAAGTGTTTGTTCAAATCCTCTACCCATTTTTTAATTGGGTTATTTGTTTTTTTGGTGTTGAGGCTTGTGAGTTCTTTAAATACTGGATATTAACTCCTTATCAGATAAGTCAATTACAAATATATTCTCCTGTACTGTGGCATGCCTTTTTTTCTGCTGATGGTGTCCTTTGCTATACAGAAGCTTTTTAGTTTGATATAGTCCCACTTGTTCATTTTTTATTTTGTTTCCCTTGCCCAAGGAGATGTGTCCAGGAAAAAGCTGCTCATGTTTATATTCAAGAGATTTTTGCCTATGTTTTCTTCTAAGAGTTTTGTGGTTTCATGACTTATATTCAGGTCTTTGATCTATTTCGAGTTTACTTTAGTGTATGGAATTAGGCAATAATCCAGTTTCATTCTCTTACATCTAGCTGTCCAGTTTTCCCAACACCAGTTGTTGAAATGCTGTTGACGCTGTCTTTTCCATTAATTATTAAGATTGATTTGTATAGTTTCAGCTTGCATGGTCATTTTTACATTCCTGCACTGCTCTGTGAAGCAGAAACTATCTGTGTATATCTTCGCTTCTCTTGTGCTCAGTCAAATCCCTCAAATTCTCAACTTCGGATGTTCTCTTTATTTCCTTGTACTAATGGACACAACTATTTTCTGACGACACACTAATTTCCTAGGCTGTTAAGCAGTGGCTTTTATTTTCCTTTTATCCTTCATTTCTATCTCCTTGTTCCTCATTGCCTTTTACATAATCATTCATTCATTCAACAAATATTTATCAAGCTCTATTTTATTTCATTTTCATTTTTGAAGCTTCATTGTGCTCACTATAGAAATCTTGATAAGCAAGGCCTTCTTAAGCTGTCTTATTCCTGGATTCCCTTATTGAATTTCTGGCTGGTCTGCCCTTTCCCTAACCTGTATCAAAGCCTCAGGCAGGTTGAGATATTAGCCTTCACTAATTGTTTGTTACTGAGACCTCTCTTATTTTTGACAATGTCACTGGGTATGAAATTTTTATTAAAGTCAGTCCCCTCTGGCCAAGCAGCAGAGTTCTTAGTCCTCAAAGACTGCCCTGCTGGCCCTGATAGACGACTGCACCACCAAGTGGCAGGGGTGGGGATAGGAGTAGCCTCTGGCTGAAATGCCAGATTCTTACTGTTTTACCAGAGATTCAGAAGATTTTTCTGGAATAAATGCTTCTCCGTGTGTTGTATGCATTTCATCAGTCTTCAGTATCTTTAAGTGGTTGTTTTTAACAACTTTGTCCAGTTTTAGTGCTTTCTGGGAAGAAGACTTAACAAAGCTCCTCATTCAGCAGTTGCAGAAGTTTTTGCCTCCCTGCTACATTTCTTTATTAGGTTTGTTTAGACCCAAGATTTTATAATTTCTCTTTTCAAACTTTCCATACCTCCACTTCCATCCTTACCCTTAACTGTTGACCTCATCTTATAAGTCATTAAAAAAACAGAATGAGACAAAACTCTTTCATCATCATATCTCTAAGATATAACTACATTTGTTTCCATGTTATTCTTTCCTTCAGTTATTATGGAATAAAAGTCTTTCCTATCAAAGACTCCAGTTCCATTCTGAAACCCATCCTTGCTCTTTTCTTCTCTACTCTTTACTACGTCTTCAATGCTGTCCTCTCTATTGGCACCTTCCCATTAGGATGGAAAGGTGCTCTGTAATATCTCTTCCTAAATACTGCTTTGACCCCAAAACTTGTTCTAGCTATTTTTCTGTCCATTTCTCTGTTTCCTGTTCTGGTTCATCTTTTCAAATCTATATACTCATTTTCTTTCTATTATCTTAGGTCCCTTTCATGTTTACTTACTGTATGACCCAGCTGCTGCGCTGAAACTGCTGTTATTGAGACTCTCGTGGCATCTGTGTTGTTAAATACAACAGAAGCTTCATCATCATCTTATTTGACCCTTTAGCAATAGTTAACAAATGTGACTATTCCCTCTTTTTAAAGATACGTTTCTTCTTCTCTTGATCCTAATCTCTGCTTCTTTTCCCCTAGCCTTACATTTATTACTTCACAGTCTCCCTTCTTCATCCTTCCTTTTCTACATGATCTGTGAAACCTGCTTTTCTTAAAGATTTTGGTTTTTTTATATTTATTTTCTCCAATATCCCACCTCTCACAACTAAAGTCCTCCCATTTTAGTAAATGGCATCTTTATCCTTATTGTTGCTAAAGCCTGAAAACCCTGACATAATCTTTTTCCTCTTTTCCTTGCTCTCCAGATTTATGAGCAAATCTGTCACTGCTTTCTCAAAAATATACCATGAATCTGTTATTTCTCATCTTCACCACTGACTTTTCTCTCATAGACAGTGGTCATAGTAAAATTCTTAAGATACAAATCTGAATTCCTGTCCTCTGTGTAAACCTTGTTAGCAGCATTCTATCATACTACAGCCTACCAAAACCCTACCTGACCTCTCATCTGCCATTCTCTTTAACATTTATCCCAACTTTATCCTCTTGCTTTAGTAAGGTTCAGTCAAACTACTTTTCTCACGCTGAACTCTTTCTCAAATTGAGGTCTTTCTGCAGACCTTTTCAACAGCATGTAATGCTCTTCTCTCTTGTTCTCTAGCTTATTTATTATTGTCCTTTAAGGCTCACTTACATGACACTTTTCAGAGAGGCTTTTCGTGAACACTTACCTCAATTCTTATCTATGTTCTTGATCCCAACTATTTTTTCTTTATAACACAAACACAGCTTGTATTTTTTTTCTTTTTATATATATATTTGGTATCATTAATCTACAATTACATGAAGAATATTGTTTACTAGGCTTCCCCCTTCACCAAGTCCCCGACAAACCCCATTATAGTCACTGTCCATCAGTGTAGTAAGATGCTGTAGAATCCCTACTTGTCTTCTCTGTGTTGCACAGCCTTCCTTGTGCCCCCCACACACATTATACATGCTAATCATAATGCCATCTTTCTTTTACCCACCCTTATCCCTCCCTTCCCACCCATCCTCCCCAGTCCCTTTCCCTTTGGTAACTGTTAGTCCATTCTTGGGTTCTGTGATTCTGCTGCTGTTTTGTTCCTTCAGTTTTTCTTTGTTCTTATACTCCACAGATAAGTGAAATCATTTGGTACTTGTCTTTCTCTGCCTAGTTTATTTCACTGAGCATAATACCCT